GTACTCACAATGGAATATTATTCAGTCTTAAAAAAGAAGGAAATTCTGACACCTGCTACAACATGGATGAACCCTGTGGACATTATGCTAAGTGAAATAAGCCAGTCAGGAAAGGACAAATACTGTATGATTCCACTTATATGAGGTACCTAAGTAGCGAAATCCATAGAGACAGAGAGTAGAACAGCGGCTGCCAGGGGCTGGGGAGGAGGGGGAGTTAGTGTTTAATGGGGACAGAGTTTCAGTTTGTGATGATGAAAAGAGTTCTAGAGATAGATGGTGGTGACGGTTGTACAACAGTGTGAATGTACTTAATGCCACTGAACTGTACACTGAAAAATGGCTAAGACGGTAAACCTTATGTTACATGTATTTTTACAACAATTTAAGAAATAAGAATTTTTTTTAAATAAACTGAATATTATTGATAAATACTCTGAATGTAGTTTGATCAAAATACAATATATTTTGTATTATTACTGTATTGTATTGTATACAATTGTATACTATTACTTCCTTTTTTCTATCTCCCATAATGACGTTAATACAACTTTTTTTAAAAAAGCAGTATTTCTCAGACACTCAGGTTGAAACTACTGTTGTTTTGAGTGTCTGTGGGCAGGTAGTTCTATACACAACAGCATTATGGCGTTCTCTCCCGTCTTCTCAGCTAAGCAAGCAGAGACTCTGAAAGGTTCACTAACTGGCCCAAGACCAGGTACGTCTGGAGACCTTGGGGGAGCTCTGAGGGCCTTTCAGGGGATCCATGAAAAACCATTTTTGCAATAATACCAGTGTGTTATTTCTCATGCTCTCATAAGCGTACAGTGGAGTTTTCCAGAAACTCCACAACATGCACTATCATCACAGACTGAATGCAGAAAGCAGAAAAGAGAATCCAGCCGTCTCTGTTAAGCCAGCCATGAAAGGGGCTTGAAAAATGTAAAACAATGCTACTGTCTCACTAAATTTTTTAAGGAAAATCAAGTTTTCTTTAAAAAGTAAAAATTTTATTTACATTAACATGGGTACATTATTGTTATTTTTTAAATGAATACTAATAAATATTTAAAAATTTTGATTTCTAGTATGGTAAATATCAAGAGATATAACCCACATTAACTAAAGCTCTTTGAGGTCCTTGATAATTGTTAAGAATGTGAAGGGGGCGTGGATCAGAGTTTGAGAATCACTGCAATAAAGGGAACCGACATTAGGGAGTCAGTCAACGTGCCCCATGACCCGCTCCAGCGACCCTTGACTGGAACCAGCTGCCCAGGTCTCTAATCCACTGAGGACGGCTGTCCACCCACCACCACCTGGAAAAGGGCTGGATTAACCGTTTCCCGGGGCTACAGTGTGGTTCTCAAGGTGTGGCTCCAGGACCAGCAGCATCTGCATTACTTTGTTAGAATGTGCACCCTTTGACCCCAACAAAACTGACTGAATCAGAAGTCTGGGGGTGGGGTCCAGCAATCTGTGTCTTAACTAGCCTTCTAGGTGATTCTGATGTACCCCGATACTTGAGGATCAGTGGGCTAGAGAATCACAGAAACTGAGTGAGAGTCACAGAACACGAGCTGTCAAAGCAGGGAGGACCTCCCCAGGTAGTTAATATGCGTGAGTCACCTGAGGGACCTTGTGAAGACACATTCTTGTTGGGCAGACCGCAAAGGGGGCCTCTTTCTAACAAGCTCCCTGGTGATGCTGATGCTGCTGCTCCCTGCACCTCCCCTGAAACACCAAGGCCATCCACTGCAGCAGCTCCTAGCCTTTACTGAACTACTGTGGTTCTGATGAAAGTTAGGAACTCTTTCCCTGGAAAAATGCATGCATGCGTTAAATTCTGTGGGCAATCTCAAGATGTTCCAGACCTTCTGAAACTCACCTCAAGGATCACTGACTATTTTGCTAGGAACTCCCTCTCATCTCCCATGATCTTTGTCCCTGGGTTAAGCGAGTTTTATATGCATCTTCAGCTGCTTGTCCCCACCCCCCCATACCCACCCAACCAAATCCTCCTCATCATCCTGGTCCAGTGCAAATGCTCTCTCCTTTGGTAGAAGGTAACGGCGTTTTCTGATGGGCTCCCCGAGGAAGCTGCACTTCCACTGCGGTCCCTTATGCTGCCTTATTCTCTAGGTATTTGTTACCTGCCTGTCTCCTCAAGAATTCTTTAAGTCCTTAGAGGTTGTTACTCATCTCTAGATCCCCTCCTGAAGCTGGCATATAATAGAAGGTGCATAAGGATTTGTTAGATGGAGTAATGAAATTGATTCTTCACACGGAACACCAGTCAAAACATTTCTGACATTTAAACGTATTTGTAATGCTCAACTCCTCACCCACATAATGGGGCACCTCTGTTTTGCAGCAGATATAAGTCTTCCTATGAATGTTCCACTCAAAAGGATAAGAAAGGGAAAATGGAAAACAGAGGTGGAGAAAGAAGTGGGCACACCCCCCAGCCCGTCCTCTCCCTCTGGATTCTCCACATGGTGTGCGCCAGTGGTCGGGGCCATCGCGTTGAGGGAGGGCCTGTTGTAACCCATACTTGGGGCCTGCGGGCTGGGATAGGGAGAAAGGTAGAAAGGTGAGAACTAACTACGTTGCAGGGGGCATTCGAGGCGATGGAAGGGCACAGAGGGCAGTAGGAGGAGGTGGGGTTTTTAGGGGTGGGGGCCAAGCAGAGCCAGAGATTGAGAAAGGGTCAGATAAGAGGTGAGAGGCACCCACACACCAGCTTCCCAATTTCACGGGGGGCTCTGTTCCTGCCGCAATTCCCAAAGGCCGAGGCAACGCCACTCAAGAAATTGGAACCAACGCTGTGCCCCAACACCTGCTAGGATACTTCCCCAGTGTGAGACGCACGGGGGTGAAGCAAACATCTGGGAAAGGGTAATCAAACCTTAGACTGGGATCCGACTTCCAGTCCAGCTAAAAGAACTTTCTTGGGCCTCTAGGACAGGGTGATGAACCAACGAGGATTCTCAGCTACTTTTGACACTGACCACAAACTCAGAACTTACTTTCCAGGCCTTGCGCAGGGCACCTACCTCCTACCCCACTTGCCCAGGTCTCATTCCAAATAGATCCATTTCTCACAGTCCCCACCCTTCATCCTCACTGTCCCCGTCTTGTCACCATCCTCCTGTTTCTCTCACCAGGGCACTGTCCCTTTTTCCCTTTACCCATCTGTTATGGGCTGAATTGTGTCTTCCCCAAATTCCTATGAAGTCCTAACCCCCAGTACCTCAGAATGTAATGGTACTTGGGAATAAGGTCTTTGAAAAGGTAATTAAAGTAAAATGAAGTCATTAGGGTGGGCCTCAATCCAATACAACTGGTGTCCTTATAAGAAGAGGAAATTTGGACACGGAGACACGCACACACAGAGGAAATGCCATGTGAAGACACAGTGAGAAAGGAGCCATCCACAAACGAAGGAGAGAGGCTTTAGAAGAAACCAACCATATAAAAACGAACCTTGAACTTGGACTGCTGGCCTCTAGAACAGTGAGATGATAAATTCAGTTGTTTAAGCCACCCAGCATGGTCCTTTGTTACAGCAGCCCTAGCTGACTAATACACCAGCTAAATCATATCCGTCCCTCAAGATCAAGACTACTTCAAACTAATTAAAGACATTTTGATTCAATTCAAGCTGAAGGAAGCTCACTGCTTCCCACACACTGGGCTGCAGCATGGTAGGGCCCTAGCCTCAGTGGAGGATGCAATACATTGAACATCTTTTCATCCTGTCGCTGGAGGCTTCCAGTGTCTTACTGAATGAATCTGGTCATCGCCTGAATTAAAAAGTTCCTCTTTCAAAGCACCATTTTACCAGTTAAAATCGTTCATAAAGAGTTAGTCACCGAATCAAAACTGGGACAGTTATGACCCTCACTGGAAATGGTACATCCTACGAGCAGCAGAAAGGCAAGGGCTGGGTGAGAGATGTGGGGAGACGCTCTCAAGCTCTTTATTTTTTATTTATTTATTTATTTCCCCTCCAAAGCCCCAGTAGATAGTTGTATGTCATAGTTGCACAGCCTTCTAGTTGCTGTATGTGGGACGCGGCCTCAGCATGGCCGGAGAAGTAGTGCGTCGGTGTGCGCCCGGGATCCGAACCCGGGCCGCCAGCAGCAGAGTGTGCGCACTTAACTGCTAAGCCATGCAGCAGGCCCTCAAGCTCTTTATTAATTCGATCCCTTCTTCTCTCTTTGGAGTGTTAGGAAACATCTTTTATCCTCTCTGGAATTACCCAGACATGGCTGGATACTGGAGTCCAGAGCCCACAAACGGATGAGTAGCAGGTGCCCCCCACAGATGAGGGCAGCTGCAGGGGAGGCACCCAAGCCAGATCACATTGACTCACAGTGATGCTCTCAATGAATCCCAGTGGAAGGTGACAGTGACACCCCCTCACACAAATCACTCAGGCTCCAGGGGTCATCTCTAAAAGGCATCTTGTGTTTTGTGGCACTAGGGTGAGACCTAGAAACCTCCCACAGCTCTTGGAGCACACTCGGCCTTGGGCAGGGCTTTTAGGCTCTGGTGCTCTCTGTAATCACAGATGACACTCCTCAGTAAGCAGAGATATCAGGTTCCTGGCAAGAGGCCAGGAATTGTCACCAACGAGAGGTGGGTTTCACCAGCCTCTCAGCCAGAGAACTAAGAGGGAGCAGCTCCAAACTAGCGCTGAGCCTCCCACTTCACAATTTCAGAGCAGGAGAACCTGGTATGTCACCCCCACACTCCTGTTTCCCTCACCACCCCAAACACACACACACACACACAGAAATGTGCCATCACCCGGGAAGACCCAGCTGAGCTCTGGAGCCAGTTCACCTGAGCCCATTTGTAAAATCATTTCTGACTGATGCCACAGAAAATAGAGTGGACAGAGATAAATCAAACCAACGGGGAGAAGGAGAGAGACAGGGGAAAGAAAAGCAAAAACCTTGCTGGGATCATTGCTCTTAGGGCCCCCAACTTACTGGTTCCTGGAAGTAGAGCTGGTAATCAAAAACAGGATTGACTTTGATGAAATCCTTTGGGGACACGTTGGGATCTGCTGGCTTGAAGGGAGTATTCAAACTGGCCACCGCCCTATGGAAAGAAGAGGCACCAAGACACAGACCATGTAAGAAGACAGTCTGCAAGAACCAGAAAGGACCTTACGTGTCAAAACCGAAAGCAGGAAAGTGATATGCACAAGATCTCACACTAGCAGTGTGTGGGAGAAGGGGATTAGCACTCAGATTTCCTGACTCGCAGCACAGTGGTTTTTTCGCACTAAACTGCAGTATTTCTCACCTACTTAGACAAAGACACACACACACACACACACAGAGGTTACATGAAGTATATAAACTTGATTAGAATATGTGGACACTGCAATCTCTCCCTAGTTTTTAAAAATGCATTCATTTTTCCTTCTTTCCTTCACTCACTGTGTCTCCTCTGTGTTGAGTGTAATTCCATGCTATATACCAGGAGAGAGAAAATATAAAATCAATACTCAAGGAGCTTATTATAATTTAATAAGGAAGGCTAGACAAATACACCCATGACTATATTATGAGATAGATTGTGATATGAGCCATAAGAATAGCACAAAATACCAAGGGAGTTCAAGGAGATAAAGAATTTCTAGAGTTGGGCATCATGGAAGACCTTATAGAAAAGAGAGCATTTGAACTTGGCTTTAAGTGTAGGGGAGAGTTGGGGAGGGGAAATGATACCTGTAAGTGAAACATCATGAGGTAGCATGAGCAATCTAGAAAAGGGCAAAGCTAGTAGTTGAGTTTGATGGAGCAAGGAGTCTGTGTGGCCAGAGGGCAAGCATTTAATGGGGCATCTTGGGAAATAAAGCCAGAAAGGCAAGTGGGAGCCTGGAAAAGAAGGACCCTGAGTCTGGACTTGATGCTGCAGAAAACCAAGAAAACCATGGGGGCTTTGAGAAGAGGCAAGAGTGGATGGAAGTTGCAGTCAGAAAGTAAGGTATCGAGCCGTGATATATCCCATGAAAGCAGGGAGGAAACCAGAAGCAGGGAGATCCGCCAGCAGTCTATTGCATTAGTCACCCTAAGGGGAATAGGATGGCAGCAATAGGAACAAAAGAGAGGGTGGATCTGAGAGACCCCGTGAAGGCAGAGTTGACAGAAGTCAATCAGGACTAGTTAGTCTGGCTGGTCAGTAAGGGATTCATATCCCACTCTTACCCTGGGAAACTTCTTCCCAGAAGAGAAATAGAGAGGAGAGAATATTTGGGACAGGATGAATAGGATAATTAGGGCAAACGAAATCATCAGGAAAAGGAGTGGTGAGGTTTAGCCAGTGCCAACCAACAGAAATATAAAGAGAGCCACATATATAATCTTAAATTTGCTAGTAATCAAAGGAAAACAAGTAAAAAGAAAAAGGTGAGATTAATGTAAAATATTAATATTTAATTTAACATTTAATATTAATTTAATATTTAACCCAATATATCTAAAATATTTATAATTTCAACATGTAATAATCAATATAAACATTACTAATATTTTACTTTCTTCTTTTTAGTACTAAGTCTGAAAGCTGGAAGGTATTTTCCACTTACAGTAATCTCAATTCAAATTGGCCACATTTCAAAGGTTCAATAGCCACTATGGACAGTGCAGGTTAGATTAGGGTATAAAATAAGTTATATTGATGCTCACAGGTTTCTAATGTTACCATAGTTAACCTATTTTAAGCATTGATTAAATCACAAGTCAAGAAATTCTAGCTTTTACGAAATATTCAGAGCAGTACAGGGTATTCTTTTTAATTGCCTTGACACAGAGTTTATTACATATATAAAAAAATTATCATCACTAAATGAGATGATAGCATATAAATGCTGCTGCCAACTGCATGAAGATTAGAAAAAGCTAAACCACAGCCTCCTTTAGGAGCAGAATCTCCAGGTGATTAGCAAAGAAAGGACATCAGAGGGTCTTCGTGGTCAAACAGGTGAGTCAACCCTTATATTAAGTAGGTCCCTGCAGCTTATCTCAGTAGACCGCCATAACCAAGGATCCAAAGAAATATTCCACACTGAAGGTGGGCTTTTTTTCTTTCATTCATTGTCTGACGATCAATACTGTCAATATTATTCTTAAATAAGAGATCTGCCCAGCCCAGAGATGCTGTGTCCCATCGTGGACATCCCTAGAGAAGGGTCTCGGTTTCCTCCCGCCCTCCCAGGAACGCAGTATCAGGGCTGCTCTGAGCAGATGTAGAAGGAGCTACTATGACCAGAACTAATGATAGACATGACGGAAACAGAACACGAAGATGAGGAATGGGAAGCCAGAGCGTGCTTACCTGTTATTCTGGGCACAACTTCACTTGGCTCATGTTAAATATTTTTAAATTCTCCCAGGAGAGAGAGATTATGTTTAATAAAACAACCAGAAGGTGTTTCACCTTCTTCAAGGTAGGGACCATATGCTTGTTGCTCTATTTCCTTTTGTTCCCTTCAGGACCTTAATAAGGTCTGTAGAGTAACTTTTTGGTGAACCCAATTCTTATTTTGACTTTGAACGAGAGAGAGAGGACAGAGAGCGAAGCTAAAGAGATCAGAAGAACAAGAGTGCAAAAACTTTACAAATATTTTGGAAAATGTTTGATTCTTTTCAGTCTTTGATATCGTCATACCATTTGACCTGGGGTTGAGCTGAACAAAGTTCTCTGGTATTTCCGTTCTTATAAACTTAGCCAAATAAAAAGTAACTGGGTTAGTTAGGGAAATACAGAAGGCTACTAAGGATGATGTTTATTTAATTTGCTAAGATCTGAGGGTGAAATAGGAGGCCAGACAGGCTTCAACTGCAGCTGCCAGCTCAAATGGGCTGTGGGCACAAAGGCTACCTGACTCTCTGGGTTCAAAACCCATCATCTGAAAGCTCCTGCTGGTGCCCTGAAATCTGAAATGCCATTTGAAGAATGATTGTGAATGATGAGATGGTGGTCATGAAATGGACTTCTAACCTGACATCTGTACAGCATTGTGCAGAGTGTATAGTCAGAGAGGAGTTACCGTTACCACTTTGTGGTTGAGGAAACCAAGGCCTAAGGGGTGACGGGATCTGTCATACAGCCAGTTCAGGGCACAACTGAAAGTCACTTTTTCTGACTCCAGTCCAAGGCTGAAGTCTCTCCTGGCACTCAGTTCTACGAGTCCGATACTCCCGCTGCCTCACCCACCCCCCTCCAAGTCTACCGTCATCCTCCTGCATTCCCACTGGCCACTCAGGCCCTGAACGATTTGTCCCACTACTGGTAACTGGGACAGGCCTTGCTTCCTAAAGACATCAGCTCAGGAAGCCCTCCTTGTTAACGTGTCAATGGGCACTAAGGAGCTAAGGTGTTAATCTTCCCAGATAACCTATCTGTTTTCAAGAAGTTTTCTGGGGTTCAAGACCTGAGGCAGGATTCTAATGTGAATTCAAGTGCAGTCTTACCCAAATTCTTACCTCACTCTCTCAGGGTAGAAGAGAGCCATGTTCCACACCAGGCTGCCTCCCCAGTCGTGGCCAATGAACACGGCTTGAGAGATACCCTAGCGCAGGATAAGGAAGGGAGCCAGATGTGGGCAGGTTTCTGGGATGGGGTGCTGAGAGCCCAAGGCCTCGTGCTCCCCTTAGGCCCAGTCCTCAGCTGACACGCCTTTCGCTCACTTCCTAGGGACTCCGCCACTGATGGCACAGTAGCTACTCCAAACATCTACCCTTTTGAAGCCTCCATTCTTACACATATCGGCCCCATACACCCTCTACACAATTGACTGGCCTTTTAGATTTTCTTAGAAGACTGAGGCCACTGGCCATGAATCCCCTCTCCCTCTCCACCTTCTCTTGAATCAAAATTTGTTTCACCTCTTTTCCTCCTTTTCATCTTAAAGTTGGTATAACTTACCTGTTCGTGTTCCAAGTTCATCTTTCATTGAGTGATATGATTATACTCCCTCCTCCTTTGGGATCTTCCCTCCCTTAATTAACCACTAAAACCTCAAAACCATCTTGAATCTCTTCCTTCCTACCTGCGCCTTCCTTTTGTCTGCTGCTGCTGACAATGAATGACAACAGCTCTCTTCTACTGGGCACCTACTACGGCCCAGGCACTGTGCTAAGTGTTTACATCCACTATCTGGAATTCTTCCAATAACCTTCTAACACACATTCTACAAATGAGAAGACAGGCTCACAGAGGTCAGGCAACTTGCCCAAGGCATGGATGGTAAATGGTGAAGCCACAATTCAGACCCAGGTCTCCCCAGCCTGAAATCGAGTTTTCTCCTCTACCCAACCCCGCTGGCCCTGTTCAGCCACCTTAGGGCCCTTCAGATCCTCCCCGGCCTCATTTCCATCTTGAAAAGTGGTTCCTTGACTCAGCTCTCTGCCATACTTCTGTCTCCTTTGTGCCGTCCAACTTCTCACCATGGTCTACACCAGCTGCCTCCCTAACAATCTTCTTAAGTCCCTACAGCCTGGCTCCTTCCCTGCTACCACAAGTCCACTGAAACTTCACTTGTAACAGCTATTAATCACTAATAATAGTTTGTTCCTTCTTGGTTCTCGCTCTTCTGACTGTTTTGCAGCATCAGACATTTCCTTTGACACTTTCTTCCCTTGGTTTCTGTGATGCTGTGCTTTCCAGGCTCTTTTCTGACTTCACTGAGTCTACTCTCTCCTCTACCTCTTACATGGGAGTATTCAGGGTTCAGCCCTCAGGCCTGTGGTGGGGAGCTTATCTACTCCAAAGGCTTTAACTACCACCTCCAGGTGGCTGATGACCGCCTCATCTGCAGTTGGCCCAGCTTCCTTCCTACATGTCCCAGTAATGACTGGGCCAGGGATGGACACCTAACCCAGCTGCCAGCAACCACAGAGACTCTCTTTCAGCAATCAGAATAAAAGACATTCTCAGCCAGTTGGAAATCTTCCAGACAGAAGGTCATTATGGCGTCAGGACTGAGGTGACCACACTAGGCCAAGTCCTCTTAGATGCCCCATGATACTCAAAAATTCCAAAGCCAATTCCATGGGATGGAGGATCTGCAGAAGATAGGGACCATGACATCTCCACCTCATTTCCTACAGTTCTGGCACCATGTCTTGCTGTTGAACTGGAACTCCTTTGTCTTCTCGGATTCTTCTCTCAACTCTCACACCCAATTAACAGGCAAAATCTCACTGCTTTAAGGTTCTCTTTTAGCTACCCCTCCACTTTCACTGTCCTGGCTTAGCCCTTCTCCCCTTCAGTCCATGCTGCAGGGTTTTCATTCTGCCACTGTGACCTAATTGAGGATGGGAGGAGGGTGTTATCAAATTGTAGTCTCAGGAATTATATGTATGCTCTGCAAAAGCATATTCTCGGATCACCATTGTTGATTTGTTTTGAGTTTGACATTCCAAACAATGTTAATGAAGGCATTCGAATTTAGATATTAAAAAAGGGATGTAAGTTTTTAAAAGTGGTGAAATATTAGCCTATAGGATATTTTCCAAATTTCTTGACTCAAACCACTTCACCCTAGCTCAAAGCCAACAGAGGTATCCTATTCCCTGGAACATGCTTTTCAAGAAAGAAAAAACAAAACAAACTTGTTTCTACACCATTCTCCAAACACCTTACCATCTCTGTCTTTGCAATCCCTCTCGACCAATCACTCCGCCTCCTACTGCCCCGAGGTGTCCCTGCCCTTGCTACTCCCCTCCAGGGCTCTAACAGCTGATACCTTCAGAGGCTACATCTTTTCTTTAACTGCCCAAGCCCAAACAGAATTCTCCAAAGAAATCAGTTCCAAATAATTACTTACCAACTTATCCAGGAAAGTGACCATGTCCTAAGAAAGAAAATATAAAAAAATCAGAAATTGCATCCATCCACCTCAGCTACTTCAAGATTAGAATTACTGCATCTGCCTTTGTCATGGGCTGAATTATGTCTCCCCAAAATTCCTGTGTTGAAGCCCTAACCCCTCAATACCTCAGAATGTGACTGTATTTGGAGATAGGGTCATTAAAGAGGTGATTAAGTTAAAATGAGGTCATGAGGGTGGGTCCTAATCTAACCTGATTGGTGTCCTTATAAGAACAGAAGATTTACACACAGATACGATATGTACAGAGGAAAGACCATGTGAAGAAACAAGCAGAAGACGGTCGTCTACAAGCCTCAGATGAAACCGTGTTGACACCCTGATCTTTGACTTCTAGCCTCCAGAATGGTGAGAGAGAATTTCTGTTGTTTAAGCCACTTAGTCTATGGTACTATGTTCTGGCAGCCCGAGCAGACTAACACAATGTTCCATCATTTCATGAGCTTTTGGTTTACCTTCCTTCCCTTCCCAGCATCCTCTCAGTAACCAAGCAGACCCCAAACATGCAGAGTGATTATTCAGGGTATGACGGTACACATTCCTAACTAGGCCGTATTCACTGTAAGACAGAAATCATGGCTTCTTTCCTGGAGGAGAAGGAGTAAGAAAACTGTTCTGGTGAGGTCTGCCTGCTTGCCTTGTCCCAGGATGGTAAGTTCCTGCCCCTCCTCCCCCAACACAGATGTAGACACCTGGCTGCACCAGCCAGCAACCATGGAGTCTGAAAAGGTGTCTGAGATGTGTGAGAAGAAACTCCAAATGCTGTCACATTCTGAGTAAATGGGGTTGGAGATGAAGGGTCATCCAGAATTTGGGCATGTGCCAAATGCGCAAGTAGGGTAACCTTGCTGGGGATGGGGTGGAGGGGACAACAGAGCAGACGTGGGAGGGAATGAATCAGAGGCCTGACAGGCCATTGAGCCCCTGCAGAAAGCCCCACTGGCTTTCCTGTTTCCCAGCCTCATTCCTTCTAAAAGACTCCCGTCTAACTTGTCAACACCACGCCCCATTTACCTGAGCCAACGTGAAGGGCCTCTGCTGGTTATAATAAAAAAGTCTGAAGAGCTGCATGTAAGGAGCCCTTGCTGGGCAACGGGTGCTGGGCAATGCCCCTCACATCCATTACTTCTTGTCCCCTCACAGGGAGCTGCAGGGAGGGCCTGCCACCTCCTCTTGACAGATGAGGAAACAGAGGCTCAGACTGGTTAACTGACGCAGCCAAGACCACACAGCTAGTAGGGGCAGAACTGGGACTGATTCTAGGTCTATCTAATCTCAAATATTCAAAATCAAAACATTCAAAGCCATCCTTTTTTACTATGGAGACCAACAGCTTTATGTTAAATAGTTTGTAGTCCCGTGAATTCTCCCCTCTTTCTACCCATTAAGAAGTAATCCCAGCTTGTTTTTGATTCTCCAGATAAATACCCTCGTTGCGGGCTGCAGAGACTGCACTGGCAAGAGTCTGGATATTTAGAAAATACACGTGATTATATTTCTGTCATCTACTGTTCTAGCTGCTTCCAAAATGAAAGACGATATTTTTCCTCCTCTGGGCTGGGCCTGTTTTTTGGTTCTTCTAGATTAAGCAAGGAGATGGAAGTTTCAGGACAACAGAGACAGGGATAAGACAAAGGGCTTTCCCACAGCCCTTGTATTCTCTGTTCCAAGAGCATTAAAAAGTGTTCAGATATTCCCCACCCTGGTCTCAGTCCTCCGCTGGGGGAACCTCCCAGTGTGGAAAGGGGAAGACACGGAGTTCTGTCTACAACCAGGAACTGCTTCAAAGGGAAAGAGTGTTAAAGGTGTTCTGATTCCTTTGGCTACCCCACCCCATGCCTGCCTTGAAAAGGCAGGGCCACAATGACAGCCTCACTTGGGAGGGGAACAGTGGGCAAGCCCCTCACCGCACCCCAAGAGAACGTGCAAAGGAAAGCATGATGACAGGTTCCATCAGTTAAAATATGCACAATTTATTTTTTTTAAGATGGAGGCACACAGTATTGGTGTAATTACTTCATTTGCTTGTTATTTTCATCTTCCTCCCAAGGAGAGGGGAGCAATTATTGGATGGTTTCATGGGGTCTTTTTTTCATGAGGTCTGTTATGGACTGAATGCTTATGTTCCCTCAAAATTCATATGTTGAAGCCCTAATCCCCAATGTGACTGTATTTGAGGATAGGGCCTTTACGGAAGTAATTAAGGTTAAATGAGATCATAAGAGTGGGACCCTGATCCTATAGGATTAATATTCTTATAAGAAGAGACACCAGAGCTCTCTCTCTTTCCACTATGTGAGCACACAGCGAGAAGACAGTAGTCTGCAAGCTACGAGGAGAGCTCTCACCAGACCCTGACCATGCTGGCACCCTGATCTTGGACTTTCAGCCTCCAGAACTGAGAAAATATATTTCTGTTGTTTAAGCCACCTGCCTGTGGTATTTTGTTATGGCAGCCGAGCTGACTAACATAAGCACTAATGAGGAATTTAGCTGAAGGTTTCCCAGAAACCCCATAACATGCTTACCAAAGTGGGCAGCATGCACATGAGCACCTAAGAACCAACAGACTGTGCCATATAAGAGAGAGTCCTGGAGGCTCTGAGTCTCTAAGGGCTGTGGGGTGCAGAATTATGTCCAGCTACAGTGACTGCAAGACCTGAGTCCTGTCAGTAAGAGAAGCAATTAAGGAGGAATGTGGGAAATGAAATAACCGTAGGAACGCCTTTTACCTTCTCCTTCTAGGGCACCTGACTGATGTTGCTGTCCAAAACTACCCTCCAGCACTAAAGTTTTATTCATTGTGTCTCTCCACTTTCTTCTTTCTTTTTTATTCCTTTAACTCTCGGGTTCTCAAACTGGCTCCTCAGACTTGCCTGAGCACCTACTGCTGTTTGGTGAGCCCTCATCTCTGCTGTGGAAGCAACTTAAAAGCATGGAGTTCTGCTTTTCAGTAACTTCCAGATGCGCTTATAGGCCAAAGTGGAATCAAAGTCAATAATTCCAGGGCAGCCAGAATCTTGTAAAGCTCCTGGGACCATTTCATTTCTAACAAGAAATAGCCTCATTCTCACAGCTCCTGAAAGATCCCTGGTTCTGGGGCAATCGTTTCCAGAAAGAAGGGCCTGGATCCACAGACATTCTCAGGGGCCTACCCACGTAACTATCTATTGGAAAACTCACCAAGTGAGCTTTGGCGTACGCCCAGGCAAGAGGAGTGGAATTACACCTGGGCACATCACAGTCTCCTCATCCTGCCGGTAAGAAGCACCTGCAATTCCATTCCTTCCCTCCCAAACACCTCCATCACCACACACAACCCGATAAGCTCCACACTTACAACATCTATCCTCCTGATTAAAACTCACTCAGAGCCTACTATGGGCCAGACTTTGTTGAAGTGCTGGGGATACAGCAATGATCAGGGAAAGCCAAGTTCCCTGATTTCAGGGAAATTTAATTTAAAAAGAGAGAGGGAGAAGACAGTAATATCTCCCACTCTTTTCCTCAAACTGCAGTGGTTCCTCTGTCTCCTCAGACATCTCCAAGGGTCTGATGGAAACCATGGGTGCTCTACCAGGAAAATGCACATGGGCACCTCTGCTTCAAATTCTGCCTCCATCACCAGGGGTTCTTGGATCCCTGAGGGTCTGTACACCACACACGAAACATCCTTGCTTGACTGCCTACAGCCACTTCTTTCCACCTTCCAGTTAACCACAGTGTGGCTGGAAACTAGTTCAGCTCTATTTCCACATCCCACAAACTGAGAAGCACGCTCAGGTCTGAAGGAGCCTTGGAGAGCGTGGAGCCTATGCATTTACTGTATTTTACCCCTGACAGCATGACCTGGAAAGGTTAAATGACTCACCCAAGGCCACACACAATGAAAGGGACAACTGGGTGTAGACAAGCCTCCCTGTGTTAACGACTTTAGAAGACAGCATCATCGCTGTATTTCATTCCAACATTCCTAAGTGGGAATCCTCAGACTGCACACACACAGAGAATAGGGTTCTGGTCCCTTCAAGTTACCCATTCTAAAACAAATAACAGTCATTTGATGAAGTGGCACACAAATTTCGGGAGCTGTGGTTGAGAAAAAGGATTTTCAGTACATTTGGGGGGATGTCATTGAGAAAAGAAGTTTTTTGCGGGCACTTAAGCGTAAGCAGTATTAAGGATCTTCATTCAGTTTTCTGTATACCTACATTTAAAGATAATACAGGCTGGGGAGACCTCGGTAGGATTTGGGGGAGATAAGAGCAGGATCAGGAGTGGCAGAGTGGAGGAGGCAAAGCCTGGCAGACTGAGGAAGGCAGAACCACGCCAGCTGGGGACTCAGCTTTCACCACGTTCTCCTTATGAGATGCCAGACCCTGCGTGTGGAGCTGGGCAGGGGGCGCTCCAGACAGCGTGAGTCCAAGATGCAGGCTTTTTGTAATTTTAGTGTAATCAGCGGCCTTGCCAATCTCCTGGCCGCCCAGGAGGCAGCTTCTCCCCTCGCCCCTCCACAGCCTGTGCTTTTGCTCCAGGGCTGATGCAGGTCTGAGCCACAGTCTCTTCACCTCAGCCTCTGCCTCCCCTGCCAGCTCTGAGACGAGAGGCCCCTCCCCGACGATGGTGGTCATGACTGTCTTAGAATAAGAATGCCGTTACAGTCACCAGTCCACACACGAACTCCTAGGTCTGGCCACCAACAGCTTTACAAAATTAAAGTGATTTTTAAAATTCCCGGGATGGACAGGCACTACGGTGGAGGAGCTAAGAGGAGGGACATGGGAGCTATTGCAGGGTTCAAAGCTGGCTCTACTAGCTGTTGACCTCAGGCAATAATTTACTTCCCTGTAACTCAGTTTCCTCTTCTGTCAAATACTTAGAATAGCACTTGACATACTGTCATTTTGAAAAATCATCTCAACTTTCAGTAAGAATTTACACCCAAATGCTGTGAAATGCTGCTTTCCTCAGATTTAAATGGACACCCGCACTTCTGGCTTGTATCACTGAAAACACCGGGATGGAATAGAGGTTACAGGTGTTACCAAAGAGCCTTCTTACCTTACATATCACTTCCATGGAATACTCTTCTATTTCTGTGATTAAAAATAAAATAAATATATTTAATTCACATGATTAAAAATATACCAACAAACTAAAAGGGCCCTTTTGCCCCCCAAAAAATCTTATTAAATTCTTAGATTGATGTAGTCCACTTGTTTCTTTTTGTTTTTGTTGCCTGTGCTTTTGGCGTCAGATCCATGAAATCATTGCCAAGATCAATGTCATGAAGCTTTTCCCCTATGTTTTCTTCTAGGAGTTTTAGTTTCAGGTCTTACATTTAAGTCTTTAATCCATTTTGAGTTGCTTGTTGTGTATGGTGTAATATAAGGGTCCAATTTCACTCTTTTGCATGTGAACAGCCAGTTTTCCCAACACTATTTGTTGAAGAAACTATCTTTTCCCTATTGTATGCTCTTGGCACCCTTGTCGAATATCAGTTAACCATATATGTGTGGATTTATTTCTGGGCTCTTGATTCTATTCCATGATCTATATGTCTGTCTTTATGCCAGTGCCATGCTGTTTTGATTTCTGTAGCTTTGTAATATATTTTGAAATCAGGAAGTGTGAGTCCTCCACTTTTGTTCTTTCTCAAGATTGATTTGATTATTTGTGGTCTTTTGTGGATCCATATGAATTGTAAAATTGTTTTTCCTATTTCTGTAAAAAATGCCTTGGGGATTTGGATAGGGATTGTATTGAATCTGTAGATCGCTTTGGGTAGTATGGACATTTTAACAATAATAGCAATTCGAGAAAGAGAAAAGAAAAAAATAAGAGAGAAAACAGAAGAAAAAATTATCAAATAAATAATTCCAGAAAATTTCCAAGAACTGAAAGATAAATGTACTCAGCAAAGTAGATAAAAAAAAAAAAACCCATATGATAGCACAGTATCATAAAATTTTAAAACACAACAGATAAAGAAAAGATCCTAAAAATGTCAAGGGTAAGGAAAAAAACCCAAACAAATGGTCACATAGAAAGGCTTGTGGATCAGAATAGTGTGGGACTTCTCAACAGCAACAAGGGAAGCCAGAAAATAGTGGGACAAAGGCTTCATAATTTTAAGGGGAAATTAATTGTTACCTAAAATCTATTGCCAAAGGATATGAAATTTATACACAAATGACCTGAAATGTATGTGTATGTATTCCAAATCACTATGTTTGGCTTTATAATTCATGTTATGTATAATCTTTCAACAATAGTTAACATGTAAGTTACGTTTTCTAAAAAAAAAAAAAAATGTTGTACTTAGGGTATGACTATAAGTCCCAGTTTGTCCAGGACAGTTTCGGTTTATGTGTGTTCCTATTAATAGTGTCTCTTTCACTTTTAATAGTGTTCTAGTTTGAATTATAAATTGTTTCACTAAGTTACGCCTAGGAGATTCAGGGAAGATCGCATTATAGATGAATAAAAATAAACATTTTAATAATAAATTTAAAAAAATCCTCTTAGATGCCTTTCCTGGAGGTTTGGCCACTGACACCCATCCTTAGATAGACTCCTACTGGGATCCATAGACGTTGGGTTAAGAATCTGGCCATCAAACTACCATATGATCCAGCAATTCCATGTCTGGATACATAGCCCAAAGAATTGAAAGGAGGGACTCAAACAAACATTGGTACACCCATGTTCACAGCAGCATTACTCACAATAGCCAAAAGATGGAGGCACCCTAAGTGCCCATCAATGGATGAATGGATAAACAACATGGTATATACATATAACGGAGTGTTATTCAGCCCTAAAAAGGAAAGAAATTCTGACACATGTTACAACATGGAAGAATCTTGAAGACATTGTGCTGAGTGAAATAAGCCAGTCACAAAAGGACAAATACTGTATGATACACTTACATGAGGTATTGTGAGTAGTCACAAATTCATAGAGAAAGAAAGTAGAATGGTGGTTGCCAGGGACTGAGGGAAGGAGGGAGAATGGAGAGCTGTTGTTTAATGGGTAGAGGGTTTCAGTTTGGGAAGATTAAAAGTTCTGGAGATGGATGGTATATCCTACATCCTACATGCCCACGGACCAGCAGGAGACTCCCTTAGGGCACAGGCCATTGGGTTTCTTGTATTCATTCAGAGTATGGAGAACGGAGACATCTGGGGCCCAAAGTACATAAACACAGGACACTGCAGGAGAGGAAAAGGGTGAAGCCAGACCCCCTTGAAGGGCTGCCTGCTCTGACCTGGGACCAGGGGAAGAAAGCACAGTTGGAGAGCTCAGACGGTCAGAAGGCATGACCAACACAGGACAGCTATGAGACAGCTAACCTACCAGGAGGAGCGGATGAGTCTCCATAGCCTTTCATGTCCACAGCTAGAACCCGGAAACCCGCCTGGGCCAGAGCAGGGATCTGGAAAGCAAACGATTCAGGCACACTCCAGTGTGGTCTTATCGGTCTTTTGCTAACACACCCTGTTTGCTTCTGCTATCCCTGTTCTTGTAAATGGCTCAGCTCAAATTGCCACATGGCACCAGCTCATGTCCTTGACAGGGGGCTGGAACAGGCGAACCTGGATAGAGCTTCCAAGCCCAGCGGTGGGGTTTGTGCACTGTACTTACTGCCACATCCAAGAGAGCACCTTTCCTAGCAAAGACCTTGCAGATTTCTACATTCATTAAAGATTTCCCAGCAGGTAGTGTAGAGTGTCTTGAAGAAGTCTGACTTTTTCTAATCTGCAAAGGCAGCATATGGGCTAGCACAACTCTGAGGTCTGGAGGGATCTCCGGCCCCAACATTTCTGAGGTATTGTGGTCATACTTTGGAGACAATGCTCCTCTGGAAGGTTTGAGCTTCTTAATGACACTCCAGGCTGGGCCACACCATCTAGACTTTCCCCTCCCCTCCCCCTGACTGGGGCACACCTTCTGCCAGTTTCCCTTACCTGGTACCTCCAAGAGAACCAGCTCTCAGGAAATCCATGGCAAAGGCACACGGCGGGGCCAGAGCCCAGCTCCACAAAATGCAGATGGACCCCAGGCTGTAGAAGAGAGAGTGAGCGGGAAGTGACCACGCACCAGGCTGGGCAGAACCAGGCACCTCTTCTGCAGACGGCCCGGGCCATTTCAGTACATTGCCAGATCTCACCTGACCCAGCTGTCTCAGCTAGAGGCCCCAGTGCTCCAAGAAGATGTCTGAGAAGAGACAACTGGCCAAACTGTGCAATTAGAACAGGCGGCTTTCATTGTGACATAAGAAGCCTGAAGAGGCCGGCCCCATGGCTTAGCGGTTAAGTGTGTGCGCTCCGCTGCTGGCGGCCCGGGTTCGGATCCCGGGTGCGCACCGACGCGCCGCTTCTCCGGCCATGCTGAGGCCGCGTCCCACATACAGCAACTAGAAGGATGTGCAGCTATGACATACAACTATCTACTGGGGCTTTGGGGGGAAAAAATAAATAAATAAAATCTTTAAAAAAAAAAAGAAGCCTGAAGAGAAGATTATGATATTGGAAAGAACCCAAAAGAGAACAACTTTGCCTTCCTCCCTAAAAGACTCTCATACTGTCAGAGTTTCTGTGCTGTTTGACATGTTTTCAATATTTTAAACTGGGGGCTGATTTTGTGCAGATCATAAGATTCATGTTAATGTGCAGAATACCATGATTATTTCTTTAAAAGCTGTTTAGCTCTTGACTATGAATTTTTTTTCAAGCTTTGCTACACTTCTAGTCCTTTCTGGGCTACATGGGTGTGGCAGAGACTGCTAGGATTCAATATTTGTGTTCTTCTCTTCTCCCTGGCACACGGTGGCATTTTCCAGACCTCCCCTCACTACCCTGCAGTGGGTGTGGCCATGTGACTGAGCTCTGGCCTACGGCATATGAGCGGAAGAAATGTGTGCTGCATCCGGCGCCCATAGAAACCTCCCACGCTTGGTCCACCCTCTTTTCCTGTCTGCATCTGGATGGACTGGGCCCTGAGAAGGGTGGAGCCAGCAAAGAGAAGGACCTGGGTGCTTGAATGTGTGTGGAGAGAGCCCGCTTCTACCCCACACTGGACTGTGCTGCACGTAAGACAAACTCGGTGTTAAGCCACCGACAGTTGGGATTGTCTGTTACAGCACTGAGCCTACCCTGAGGGGTGGCGGGTGGGGGCCCCTAAGCAAATGAACTAAAGCACCATACAGTAAAAGTGCCCTATTTTTCCCCAAAGTACCTATCTTCAACTTTCCAATGGAAATGAATAAGAAAAATAAGGGTCACATTATAGAAATTCACTTGGGACAATTCTATTCAGCAGCGTCTCACACTACTCCAAGCTGGGTTTCCAGACTAGAAGCTTCATTCACGATTCCCAATGAGCTATTTTGCTCAAGAAAACATTAGGCTGACATTTCACAAAGGCTTTCATGGACTACGATCTTTTTATCAGCATATGTTCCCTTGTCTTCCCTTTAGTACTTGGCAAAGGGAGGGAATTTAACTTTAAATTCTATACTCCTTTACAGTGAAAAATGTCATAGTGCTGACACCCAATCCAACGAACCTAACCTGCCTCTGTCCCGAATGGATCCCAACCAAAAGGCTCACTCTCGCTGCTTCATATTTGACTCAGTGGAGTAGCTCAGCAAACACATGTACTTTCCCATCCTTTAAATGATATACTAATAAAATTGCCATAAAGCCAAAAAATGGGGAAAGACCTTTTACCAACCCAGTTTGAGTTGCACTGGCCTTCAGTGGTGACCGATGGACCAGCACCCTGAGCCTGGGCTCAGCTGGGGCTCCCCAGAGGTCGCTGCCTCAGTCCTTTAATTTGGGGTAGGGGCAGATGGGGTAAAGCAGCTCTGACGGCCCTCCTTCAAGGTCAAATGAAGAATCTACTGAAACTGGCTGGATACGCAAACATCAAGAGGACTACGTGAATAACGCTGTGCAGGGGGTTGAAGACACAAAGTTACACCCCAGACCCGAGTCCCAGGCAGAGAGCCCCTCCCTTCTCATCAACGCCAGAGGAGAGGTCTGAAGGGACCTTAGGAAACGGCACCCCCGTCAGGAGCACGCAAGGTCATAGCAGGGCTGCACTGATGCTGGCCATTGGCTTTCAGCACCAGGAAAGCCCTTTCTTGCTATCCAAACCCCACTCATCCTCTGATGCCCAATTCACCATGTCTGCTGGGCCTTACTGCCGACATCTACGGTTGCTGCCTCCACCCTCACAGAGCCCATTCGGAGCGCTCAGGGCTCCGCTATTCTGCATGGACCTCATCCTGCGATGTAGCCGCAAGGGCTGTGAATGAAGGTTTATCTCAGCGGAAAGTAAAATCCCTGAGGTCATGGAAGACGCTCTATTCTTCTCGGTATTTCTCTCCGTGCTCATCAAATAGCAAACGCTCAGAAATATCTGTAGGGGTATCCTCCAGGGCAGCAGGCCTTCCCCACAGTCTCCACACCTGCACAGCTCAGGCTGCCAGCTGCTACTGTTTGTGGAGCACGGAGGTGTCAGATACTATGCCTTGTGGTCTACAGGCAGTATTTCAATTAATCCACATGAGAACATCGAGGGGAGTATTATCATCACCTCTTTATAAAGCTGGGTACATGGAGAGTCAGAGTGATAAGAAATGTACCTGAATTTGCAAACTTAGTAATTGCCAAAGCCCAGACTCAGGCTATTTCACCCGGCTCCAAAGCGACCGTCGGGCCTCGTTCTGCTTGTGAGCTGACCCGTAGCTTTAGGTCCCTTCCCATTGAAATGGGGCCAAGAACAAATGAAGAAAGATCCTGAAGCAAATCTGTGAAGACGTTCTAAAGCCCTACTCCGTATCCCGGCCGGGTCAGGAGTCGGGGCCCCTCTGCACGTGGCCTTGCCACAGCCCTGACCACTGGGCATTTTAATGACCGCTCCCCTCTCTTTATCCTTGCCATGGTTCCTTGAGGACAAGTCTGTCTTGGTCCTCACTGCCTCCCTCGTACCTGGCCCACACCTGACATAAAACAAGTGCTCTATAGATATGCGTTGGATGAGAAAATGTTTTCGCCCCAACACAGGCCAGACACACACGACTTTAGCACCTGGGTGACCCAAGGCCCCATGTGGCCTGCTGTTTTGTTGAAGTCTGACACAGTGCTTTGCGTGTCCTGAGGCACGACCCACGTCTTCTATTGATTTTTGGGGAAAGATATTTGTGGGAAATACTATTTCCCTATAAATGGTGGATGTTCAACTACCCTTGATATTTAACAAATGTCTCTGCAAGTCATGTAGGTGACCCGGCTGATAGCACTCAGCTGCCGAGAGAGCGAGCTTACTTACCTTTATGGGCACGTACCCATGGCTCACGTCGTTTGGATTGCATGGGGTCGGCAGAGGGGCTGCAGTTTTGAGAAGCTGAAAGTGAGAGAGGTACAGTGAGAGAGGTGGCTGCAGCTTCCTTCCACGAGAAGTTCTCAGAGGGAGTTTACAAAACACCAGAGTGCTAGCACCAGAAGACAGCTCACGAGTCACCTCTGCCATGGCCTCCTGAGTCCCATCGGGGACTGACTAACCTATCTCCCTCTCCTCTCGGGCACACAGCTAGACTTCATCTCCTTGCCTTCCTTTCTGAGTTCTGGCCAACAGAATGCAGAGAGAAGAGTGTGGCCTCTCTGCCTGGCCTCTTAAAATCTCCATGCGATTCTCTACATTCTCTTTTTTTCCATCTTCCAGCTGAGTGTCTGGTGTGACCTCAGAAACCACAGGTGGAAGACAGTGGGTCCTCTGTCAACTTGGGTCCTTGAATGGCTGCGTGAAGCAAAGCTCCTGGCCACCACTGAGTGAACTTTACACAAGCAAGAAATAAACACCACTTGCTCTAAAACACTGAGATTTTGGACTTCAGTTAATGTAATTCTTCTCTACAGCAGTTCCTCAAGTGGTCACTCAGGCTCAAATTGGATACAGCCAGGAACACAAAGTTCACAAAGTGGCCAGTCCACCATTGTAGGGCTCTTTTGAAGGGTTTCTCCTTCAAGCTGGCCAAAATCAAACTCTCTGTGCCTTTGTATTCGTTCGCAGAGCTGCCATAACAAAGCCCCACAGGCTGGGCGGCTTCAACAACAGACACTTATTCTCTCACAGTTCTGGAGGCTGGAAGTCTGAGATCAAGGGTTGGGTTCTCCTGAGGCCTCTCTCCTTAGCTCGCAGACGACTGTCTTCTCCCTGTGTCCTCACATGGTCTTCTCTCTGTGTGTGTCTGTATCCTAATCTTCTCTGCTTATAGGGATACTAGTCACATCAGATTAGGGTGCACCCTAATGACCTCGTTTTACCTTAATTACCTCTTTAAAGACCCTATCTCCAAATACATTCACATCCTGAGGTCTTAGGGGTTAGGGTTTCAACATATGAATTTGAGGGGAGGACACAATTCAGCTGATAATAGCCTTCTGCCTGCAGGCCCCAGTTCTGTCCTCTGGAGTCCTGGAGGGTCAGATAACCTGTCTTTGTATGACATCCAGGTAAATAGGAAATTCCTAAACGTAATATCCTTAGGAGGCTTCTGTAACTTTTTGGTGTCGGTTTCCTTGAGACAGAAGTGACCAAGGACAGGATGCTGAGCACACGTAAGTGAATGGATTCACGAGGAGAGACATACTAGTGACTCCTACCACCAGATTTCTCATCTTTAGTCCCAAAGGTGTGACCTAAGGAAGCAGTAGCTCTCCTCAGCTACCAGTGTCCTGACCTCTAAAATGGGGGAAATAAACTATGAAATTCACCTCCCTTGTACACATGGGAGAGTCTGCCTAGGTGTCCTCAGAGAGAAAAACAGAAGGTGAGCCCCCACCTCTGTGGCATCTGGAGAGGACCCAGGGTGTGGTGGCAGAGATGGGCAGCTTGGTGCCCTCTGATGGCAATGAGCCCGAGAGAGCTTGTCTGGCCAGAGACAGCTAAGATACTGACCAAGGGCTAGTGTCCCTCAGGGCCCTTCTTCGGCTATGTCCCTGGCTCCCTATGTCACACACCAGGGGATGTTCCACTGCTTGGAGGGTGGGGCTGTCTACTCTAATGGTTCTCCCATGTGTCTGTACAATTTACAAAGCCAGTGCATGACTGAGTCCCACAGCCTTCCTGAGAGATAAGAGGCACTCCTCCTCTGGTTAAAAAGGAGTGACTTTCATTTCTCCTTATACCTTCCCCACACCCCTGAGGAGAAAATAGGTGGGACATGGCTTACTTTCCCAATTTTATAGGACGGGTGTCTGTGGCTCAGATGCGACAGGGGGACAAACCTAGTAAGTGGAACAAGCAGGTGGATGCTCCAATTCCAAGTCTAGGGGGCTTTCTTCTCTGCTGCGTGAGACTTCCAGGCTTGCAGAAGGACAAATCAAGCTTGGGCAAGATGCTTTAAGGTTGTGAAGTCATTAGACACACATTTTTATTTATTTGTTAAAGATGAAAAGTCAATTATTCCTGTTAAGGGTGCTAAATTCATCTACTGAAGTCCTAACCCCCAGGACCTCAGAATGTGACTGTATTTGGCAATAAGGTCTTTAAAGAGGTAATTAAGGTTAAATGAGGTCATTGGAGTAGGCCCACTGGAGTCAGAATCCAATCTGACTGGTGTCCTTATAAGAAGAGGAGATTAGGACACACACAGAGGGAAGACCATGTGAGGACACAGCAAGAAGATGGCCATCTACAAGCCAAGGAGAGAGGCCTCAGGAGAAACCAACCCTGCCGACACCTTGATCTCAGACTTCTGGCCTCCTAGCAAGACTGTTCTCTTAGCCACCTAGTCTGTGCAACTTTATGGAAGACCTAGGAAACTAAAAACCAATACAGTCCCCTTTGAGAAAATGGTTGTGATGCCTTTGACATCCAGCTAGCTCAGTAAAGTGTATGGACCCCCGCCCCCCTCCTCTCCCCTTATGCTGACACAAGCAAGGCATTGCATTACTGAAAAACGCTGGCATAACTGTCACTGCTGGACTCAATGGCATCAGTGATCTTAGGTAAGCTCAAAAGAACAAAAGGGGAGTCAGCTCTGGCAGAGCAGGCTAGTCCCCAAGCAGCCCCCAGGGGTGTCATTCAGGACGTCCCATTCTCCTATGTGAGGGACAGGTTTTACTTAAGAGCTTTCCCTCTGACTGGCAAGAGGGTGTGAACCAGGTGGAGCTAAACAACCACACCTGGGTGCCAGCAGCACGCCCAGGCGGACAAGGTGAGGACTGGGCTCCCTACTCCCGCCAGGGCAGACCTAGCAGCTAAATTCTCAATATTTACTCTCAAAAGTCAAGTCAGGTGGCTTTGAAAGCCCCACTCTTGTCTTGGTTCCCCCAACTCTGACTAGTATAGATTCTTGCTCTCAGAGCACTGTTTCCCTGTTTGCTGACTGCAGAGAAAGAAACAAGAAGTTCTTCAAGGGCATTACGCCAATCGCACACAGGGAATGGATTCCCACCCAAGAGGTCCACACCCGGGAACCACGCCAGGAGCAATGAACTCCCCAAACACCGGGTTCTCCTCTCCCTTGTTTTGTCTCCTGTGTACCTAAACACAGATGGGGGACGGGAAATCCACTCAGCACAGACGTACAGTTACCTGCATCCCGGTTACTTTCTCCAGCTCTCTCAGGGCTGTGTCAGTGTCATGGACGAGGATGGTGACCATTCCCAAGTCACAGGCTGGCTTCAGATAAGCCTCAAGGTCATCCAAGAAAACCACCTTAATCCAAATAGTGTGGACACTAGCATCACTTTGACCAAAGCAAACTTACACATGAGGGACAACACCAGAAAGAAACACATTTAAATGTGAACAGGGGTCATTTTATGATGATGAGATGAAGAATTATTTTTCTCTCCGGTAACTACTCTTAAAATTAAAAACATTTCATTGCATAAGCACACACATAAACACACAGATAGATGTACATGTTCCCACATACACCTATTGGTTTCAGTCTGAATTCTGAAACTGTAAGAAGATTAAGGAAGGATATAAACTTATCAGAATGACATTAAAATTCTTCTAGGAAAACTGACATGTATGAATAGACAAAAAAATGTCTGGAAAAGAACTGTAAGAAGGGCAGATAATACACTATGAAGCTACAAAAGGTAAAAAAAAAAAAAAAAGAGGTCTAGTACTAGAAAAGAAATAGACGTATCAATGAAATAGAGGAGAATCAAGGAATAGATCCCAAAACAAACGACAATTTAGTTTCTAATAAAAGTGATGTGTCCAATTGGTGAGGAAAAAGATTATTTAAAAGATTATTTAATTATTTTAACTGTTCAGGGAAAAAAGTAGACCCTTCCTTCATATCTTACCCCAAAATAAATTCTGAATGGATCAAAGATTTAAATTTTAAAAGAAATAAAGAAAAAAAAAAGATCCTTAAAGTTGTGGAAGAAAGCTTAGGTGCCTTTATTTATAATCTTGGATTGAGGCAGGCCTGGACTTCTAAGCAGCTCATCCGACCCGAAAGCCGTAAACACAAAGACATTTATTTATATGCTAACTAAGATTCAGAGTGCTGTTCTAATGCTTAACCCAGGGGTTGAGAAGAGCAGAGCAGTGTAAGAGGAGCAACGAAGGGCTCGGGGATTGAGCCTGCTAAGGATTCCCAACGACACAGTTCAGGGTTCCATCTGACCAGCTTGTGGGTGATGTGGGGCCAACAAGAATGGATCAGAAACATCAGGGAAAGGAATTTAATCTTGGTCCAACTGCCTTTTTGAAGAGTAGAGAAGGAGAACAGTGAGAATAATCTAGAGATAGTATGAAGACAGAATTTGGGGGCAAAGGGGTGGCAGGAAGTAGATTGTTGCCACACTCCTGCTCACCCTTTGGTGAGGTGACCCTGGCTAGCCTTGTGGTCCTTGGGAAGTCTCCCAGGGTCTACGTTTCTTTATAGGCAAACTGAGGCAGCTGGTCTAGCAGCTTTCAACAATATCTGTTTTGACCAAGGTTCTGTAAGAGCCACAGAGAGGGGCCAGATGACCACCTCCGGTAGAACTTTCTAGACTGAAGGGATGGGCAAATGTCCTTTAGAAGTTCTAGTCTGGGAGAAGTGGAACCTGCCACTGGACCTAGAACTGTCCTTCCAGGGCTCAGATGTCCCCCACCTGTTCATTCCTCCTCAATTTTTCTTGATTGCAATATCTCTAGAATTTTCTTCTCCAATGAAAGGAAGTGTTTACGTACCTCATTGGGGCTGGCCTTCAAGGTGTCCAGCACGTACTTGTAGATCTGAGGCTCAGGCTTGGCCATTCCAATCCTACATGACTCTATCAGGAAGTCAAAGTGTGGCCTCAGCTCACACAACAGCTGGGCCATGCTGCCTCTCTGGGGGCTGTCGTCCAGCCAGTTGTTGGTGAGGAGACATGTTGTAAATCCTGAGCAAGAAGTCACGAGTGAATGGACCAGCTACAGAACTTTGCTCTGAGAAGCTCCAGGTGCCCCACGTGGAGCCTCATCTTTGAGGCCAAATGGGGTTCAGCTCACTTACATCAATCTCCTAAAGCCCAGCATTTAAACTAAGTTGGAAAAGAATCATCTTAACCCATAAGGACTTCCTGACACAGAGAAATGAGAGTGAGCTAACTGTGTACATTAAGGGCTTCCAGAAGCCTGGATGGACACACTACTTCCCTTAATTCCTTGCAATTGTAGAGCAAAAGGTTGTGACATTCGTCAGCTCATTTGATCAAAGTGTTTTACATTCATCAGCCCATTTGATCCTCTCCACCTTTAGGGTAGGCAGGGCAGATCTCACTATCCCACTTTTACAGATGAGCAAACAGAAGCTCAGACAAATTACGAGCTTCCCAGAGCCACACAGTGAAGGCAGAGCCAAGCCAGGCCCAGAATCCTGCCTCCGACTGCCACTCCAAAACTCTAAAACTCCTTCCAGTCCAGGTTACTGCAAACTCTGCTCAGCTGTATTTCAAAACACCTGCCTTGGCTGCCAGAGACTGCATTTCCATCTCAAAACTAGAGAAATGTAAACAGAGATAGCACTATCCCCTGGCTTTTTCTGTCTAACCAGAGAGGTCAAGAACCAGGAGACACTGGAAAAGAGACATGAATGAGTCGATGTGAGACCCTTTCCACGTAATAAGTGAGAAATACGGACACGGGATGGCTGAGCCACAACCGGGTAAGTCTACTAAGTGGGTGGAATGATTCAAATATGCCTGTGAAGAAGAGCCGGGCTCTGACATGAAATAAATGCCTATTGGATGAATATGATTTCATGTCCTAGGCCATATGACACAATCTAAATCCATGTCAGCCAGCACATAGCTGAGCCACTCTGACCCCAGAGGTTAAAAAAATGATAGTTGCTTGAAAGGACTTGTTTTTTAATCACTGTGACAAGAGGTTGGCTCATTCAGGTCATTACTAGTGCCATTGAAGGGGGAGAATTTTGCTCATAAGGAAGTCTCTGGCATAAATCGCTTTATTAAATAAAATTATTTCATTTTTCCAGCTATTCTGATAGTGTTGTTTTTTGCCATTTAATAAAACTTACTTTGGGGCTATGTTTTAAGAATGGCTTTCCATCAAGGCCCAGAAGATTTGTGATCTCAAAACACATTTAGATGTATTCTGACCTAACCTCCCAAGGGTTCGGGTGTGGTTGGGTCAGAGAATGGCCAGTAGTGGATCCTTACCCTTCTTTCTGAGAGCGAGAGCTGCTTGAAGCATGGGGTGGTTGATGTTTCTTTCTGAAATTGCCTTGGCAAAGATTTGATTTATAGAGAACTTCTCAGGGAGGTGGATTCCAGAGTTCTTAGAGCGTTTCCTGCAGTCTTCTTCAATGAATGGCACCCACTGTAAAAGCAAATTGATGAGGGACTGTCAATTGGTACAAGTGCTTGGAAAAGCTTTTGACAGCATTTACTAAATCTGAACACACCCATTCTCTGTGATCCAGCAATTCCGCTCAAGGACACACACCCTATGGAAATGTCTACGTATGTTCACCAAAAGACATGTACAAAAATGTTCACAGCAGCACTATTCCTAACTGCCTAAACTGGAAGCTACTCAAATGCCCTTGTTATGGGCTGAATTGTGTCCTCCCAAAATTCATGTTGAAGTTCTAACCCCCAGGACCTCAGAATGTGACTGTCCTTGGAAATACAGCCTTTAAAGACGTAATTAAGGTAAAATGAGGTCATGGGTGGGCCCTAATCTAATCTAACTGGTGTCCTTACAAGAACAGGAGATTAGGACACAGACATGTACAGAAGAAAGACTGTGAGGACGCAGGGAGAAGACAGCCATCTACAAGCCAAGGAGACAGGCCTCAGAAGAAACAACCCTGCCAACACCCTGATCTTGGGCTTCTAGCCTCCAAAGCTGTGAGAAAATAAATTTCTGTTGTTTGAGGCACCTAGTCTATGGTATTTAGTTATGGCAGCCCTAGCAGACTAACACGCCCATTAATAGCAGAATGGATTGTGGTATATTTATACACTATCACAGCGGCACTATTTATAATAGTCCCAAACTGAAAACTACCCAAATACCCATCAACAGCAGAAAGATCGAGAGCCCAGAAATAAACCCACACATATGTGGTCAATTAATTTACAATAACAGAGCCAAAAATATACAATGGGGAAAGAATGGTCTCTTTACAAATGGTGTTGGGAAAACTGGACAGCCACATGCAAAATAATGAAACTCGACCACTATCTTATACCATACACAAAAATTAACTCAAAATGGATTAAAAACTTGAATGTAAGACCTGAAACCATAAAAATCCTGGAAGCAAACACAGGTGGTAAGCTCCTTGCCATCAGTCTTGGCGATGATTTTTTGAATCTGACACCAAAAGCAAAAGTAACAAAAGCAAAAATAAACAAGTGGAACTGCATCAAACTAAAAAGCTTCTGCACAGCAAAGGAAACCATCAACAAAACGAAAAGATAACCTACTGAATGCGATAAAATATTTGCAAATCATATATCTGATTAGGTGTTAATATCCAAAATATATAAAGAACTCAAACAACTCAACATAAAAAAGCAAACAATCTGATTAAAAAATGGGCAGAGGATCTGAACAGACGGTTTTCCAAAGAAGCCATACAGATGGCCAACAGGTACATGAAAAGGTGCTCAACATCACTAATCATCAGGGAAATGCAGATAAAATCCATGAGATATCATCTTAACCTGTTAGAATGGATATTATCAAAAAGACAAGAACTAATGAGTGTTGGCGACGATGTGGAGAAAAGAGAATCCTCGTGTACTGTTTGTGGGAATGCAAATGGGCACAGCCACTATGGAAAACAGTATGGACGTTCCTCAAAAAATTAGAAATAAAACTACCATAATGATTCAGCAATTCTACTTCTGGGTATTTATCCAAGGAAAACGGAAACACTAACTCGAAAAGATCTCTGTAGCCCCATGTTCATTGCAGCATTATTTACGATAGCCAAGATATGGAAACAACCCAAGTGTCCATCAATGGATGAATGGATAAAGAAAATGGGGTATATATACTCAGTAGAATATTATTCAGCCATAAAAAAGAATGAAATTTTCCCATTTGTAACAACATGGATGAACCTCAACGGCATTATGCTAAATGAAATAAGTCAGACACAGAAAGAGAAATACTGTATGATCTCTCTTATATGTGGAATCCAAATAAAAAAAAACAAAAGCTCAAGCTCTTAGATTTACAAAATAGATTAGCGGTTGCCAGAGGTAGGGGGATGGGGGAGGTGGGGGTGGGGTGGGAGAAATGGGTGAAGGGGATGAAAAGGTAAAAAGAAAAAAAAAGGATACAAATTGCCAAAATTGATGCAAGATGAAATATAAAATGTGAACAGACTAAAACTATTAATGAAATGAGAAAAATAAAAAAAGAATTCACTTTTCCATAAAAATAATAAAAATCCTCCAGCCCCAGACTGTTACACAAGTTAAAAAAAAAAGTAAAGTGGGAGAGTTATACAACTAGATTTGCATTTTAGGAGGATCATCCTAGAAACAGTGAGGGACACTGATTGGACTGGAAGAAGGGAGAATGATTAGAAGAGAATTTTCACAAGTTCCCATCATCACAAATATCCACCTACTAGCACCTGTGGCCAAGAACTCTGCCTTCCCTTCTGCTGCCATAGATGAACGGTCTACTGCTCTTATCAAAGTTCAGCCCCTCCATTTGTGCCATAGATTCCATCCCTTTCTGCTTTCAAGGCCATGGCACCAGCCAGTCTCCCCTCTTTATTCCTCCATCAGCAGTTTTCCTCCCTTCTGGATCATTGCCATGAGCATACAAGCATGCTGTTATCATAAAGAAAACCTCTTTCTTGATCTCATTCCCTCCCACTACTGTATCAAAACTTCACATGGTCTTCAAACCCCTTCCTCTCATTCTTTCTTGAACATACTCTGATCATGCCTTCACCTCCACATTTCACAGACACTTGTCTTGTCCAGGTTACCAATGCCCTCCACGTTATGTTGCTCTATCTAGTGGGCACTCTCCAGTCTTCATCTCACTTGACCTATCATCTGCATTTGACACAGTTGATCACTCTCTTCATCTGAAACTTGGTAACTTCTTGGCTTTCAGGACTCCACTCTCCTGATTTTCCTCTGATCGATGGAGATTCATTCTCCATCTCCTACTGCTGGGTCCTCCTCATCAACCTGACCTTTAACATTAGAGTACTAGGGACTCTGGCCTCTTCTACTCTCCATTAATACTCTCTTTCTCCATGATCATATTGAGTCCAATGATGTTAAAAATGCCATCTATATGCTGTGAATACATATATTTATTCAACCTTGACCTCTTCCTTGAACTCTGGCTTTGTATATCCAGCTGCCTATTCTAAATAGCATATTCCAAATACACTTTATTTGAATATCAATAAGCATTTCAAATTAAAGTATCCTAATTGAGCACCTGATTTCCTAACCCCCAGAGCAGGCATACCTATTCCAATTAACAGCAACTCATACTTCCAGTTTGCTTTGGCCAGAAACCTTTGAGTCATCCCCAACTCTTCTCTCATGCCTCACACTCAATCTACCAGGAAAACCTGTTGGATCCACCAGCAAAATATCCCCAGAATTTGACGACTTTTTACCACTTCCACCGATATTACCTTAGTGTAAGCCACCATCCTCTCTCACTTGGATTTTCCAGTAGCTTCCTTAAGTAGTCTCTCTATAATGATCCTTGCCCTCTTGATCTATTCACACAGCAGCCAGAGTGAGGTTTTAAAAACTTAAGTCAGATAATGTCACTTTGCTGCTCAAAATCTCCCAATGCCTTTCTTTTTTTTTTTAAAGATTTTATTTATTTTATTTTTTCCCCCCAAAGCCCCAGCAGATAGTTGTATGTCATAGCTGCACATCCTTCTAGTTGCGGCATGTGGGACTCGGCCTCAGGATGGACGGAGAAGTGGTGCCTCGATGCGCACCCGGGATCCGAACCCGGGCCGCCAGCATTGCAGCGCGCGCACTTAACCACCAAGCCACAGGGCCGGCCCCTCCCAATGCCTTTCCATCTCTCACTCAGGGTGAAAAAAAAAAAAGCAGAATGGATAAACAGATTGGAGTATATTCGCACAATGAAATACCATGTAGCAACGAGAATGAAACTGTCTACAACCGCACACAATAACATGTATGATTCTAACAAATATAATGTAGAGGAAAAGATGCCAGATATGAAAGAGTTCATCTGCCTGATTCCATTCACAGAAAGTACAAAATAAGCAAAATGATCTACAAGGTTAGAAGTCAGGACGGTAGTTACTCTTGGAGGGGTGGTGTCTAGAAGGGGCATGGGTAGGGTGCCTATGGTGTTCATAATGTTTTATTTCTTGATCTGGGTGCTGGTGACATGGGTATACAGTCATGCATCTCAACGACGGGGATATGTTCTGAGAGATGTGTTGTTAGGTGAGTACATCGTTGTGTGAACATCATAGAGCATACTCACAGAAACCTAGACGGTATAGTCTACTACACACCTAGGGTGTATGGTACTAATCTTATGGGATCACTATTGTATGTGTGTCCGTCATTGACCGAAATGTCATTATGCAGTGCATGACTGTATACAATTTGTAAAAATTCATCACGCTGTACATTTTGTGTACTTTTCTGTTTGTACAGTACACATAAATGAAAAGTTAAAAAAGGACATTCATTCCCGAGACACAACTTTTTAAAAGACAAATTGAACGTAAGTGGCCTTTATCATAGTATAATTAGGTTCTTCAGGCCTCTTTCTCTATGATTTGAGTTTCCTAGAAGCTACTAAAGAAGTCTGAACGGACACAGGGTTTTCACAGCAATTACTAGAAATTCACTCTATAATTCCTATGTTTACGGAAAATATATAGTACTCCCCTCTTTCCTTACCTTCCAACAATATTACTGCAGCTTTTTATTGAGTCAAGCTCCAGTAATGTTTATTCCCAACAGTATCATTACAATATTCATTCACCAGTTGCCACAATGAGTGTGTGTGTTTGTGTGTGTGTGTGAGAAAGAGAGAGAGAGAGGGAGAAACAAAGACAGACAGAGAGAGAGAGAAAGAGAGAAAGAGAGTTTTAAAGTGACTACAATTCATTACACTCCCCACACTAAGACCACACTTGCCTTCACAGAGAAGGTGGGCTTTTGCTTTCTATTACAGTGGGCTCTAAGTCATAAAAAAATTTTAAATATAGACTGTTTTATCTGTGTGCTTATAGAGTAGATTTTCAGTAGCCTTTCTTCTTCAAGGCACTAATGGAGAATTCAAGTGCTTTTAGATCCTGATTACTTTGTTAAGAAACAAGTGAGATTGTAGTAACAATCCTAACTACTCTTTATTGAGCACTTACTATGGGCCAGGTACTGTGCTAAGCACTTTTCAAGCTTCATAACAACCTAAGAAATAGACAGTATTATCACTCTCATTTTACAGATGGCAAAGCTGAGACTTTGCGAGGTTAAGCAACTTGCTGTGGTCACACAGTCTGTAAGTGGGAGCTACGACTCAAATCCTGATCTCTGACTCCAAGGCCCACCCATTATATAGTTATTAATGAACTGACCCACTCCCCCACTGGCCTTGTCTGAAAATAGCTATTCTAAGGAGAACTACTATCAAAAGAACAGAAAATAACAAGAGTTGGTGAGGATGTGGAAAAACTGGAACACTTGTGCACTGTTGGTGGGAATGTAAATGGGTGCAGCCACTATGCAAAACAGTATGGAGGTTCCTCAAAAACTTAAAAATAGAACTACCATATGATCCAGCAATCCCACTGCTGGGTACATATTCGAAGGAAATGAAATCATTATCTGGAAGAGATATCTGAACCCCCACGTTCATTGCAGCATTATTTACAATAGCCAAGATATGGAAACAACCTAAGTGTTCATCGATGGATGAACAGATAAACAAAATGTGGTAAATCCATAAAATGGAATATTATTCAGCCTTATAAAGAAAATCCTATTACATGCTACAACATGGATAAGCCTTGAGGACATTATGCTATGCGAAACAAGTCAGTCACAAAAGGACAAATATTGTATGATTCCACTTATATAAGGTACCTAGTGTAGCTAAAGACATAGAGACAGAAAGTTCAATAGTGGTTGCCAGGGGCTGGGGGAAAGGAGGAATGGGGTGGTGGTGTTTAACGGTTATATAGTTTCAGTTTTGCAAGATGAGAAGAGTTCTGGAGATGGATGGTGGTGATGGTTACACAATATGAATATCCTTAACACTATTGAATTGTATATTTAAAAATGATTAAGATGGTAAATTTTATGTTATGTGTCTTTTACCACAATTTAAGATGGAAAAAAGCTACTCTGGCTGTTGTAATTCCTTGGCATAGATCTTCAAGGGCTTGGAAGTTTCCCAGTCATTAAAGTGTGTCCCTCTGGTTCGCCCAAAGAGATAACAAACCAGTCTTAAAGGTCTCTTCCTGTGTCTCTGGGCCTCCAACCCAGTCTTGTGAGTTAAGTGCTATCAGGGGTAAACAGGTGCAGCAGACCTGGCTCTGCCCTCAGAGAGCTCATGGTCAGTGCAGGAGATGGGCATGTAGGCACAGAATGCCCTCTCAAGGGGGTCTATGAGGTATCCCCTTACCTGGGAAAATGTGATCTCTCCTCTCAGGAGGCAGGCAACAGAACCACCTGGGGCTTCTAGCTTCAAAACTTCATTCAGAAAGCCTCTGGAATACCAAAAGAAACAACATCATGAATGGTCCGATGACTTCATCCTGCTGTCATGTAGGGAACAGACATTATTTACATCCAAAGACAAACTGCTGTTAGAAAGGCATTCTGCCATGGATGAGGAAATGCTAAGTTCAAGTTGGGATCTTTGCACACAAGGAGCAATCCAGCTGGGGACATGAGACCATAAACTAAAGGATAAATATGCTCGCAGGTGCAGCAACTCATGGGGGACCACCCAGCAGAGACTCAACTGGAGGGGATTCCAGCTTTGCTGCTTAAGGGACAAAATCAAGACTGGACATGCGGTCATCACTGTTTTCAGCTCATTTGCACAAGGTATTGCTCCAAAGGACTGCTTTATTAGTTCATATTCTTCCAAGGGAATTAAATATATTTTTCTGGTTTTGGTTCGGCACATATAGTTTCTATTTTATCTTAACCTCATCTAGTTTTTAAAAAGCTTTCTCATGTTATGAGCTGAATTGTGCCCCCACTAAATTCATATGTTGATGTCCTGATCCCCAGTACTTCAGAATGTGACTGTATTTGGACATAGGGCCTTTAAAGAGGTGATTAAGTAGGAGTATGGTCATTAAGGTGGGCTGTAATAGAATACGACTGGTGTCCTGGAGAGGCAATAGGGACACAGACATGAATAGAGAGAAGACCGCGTAAAGACATAGAAGATGGCCATCTACAAGCCAAGGAAAGAGGCCTCAGAAGAAACCAACCCTGCTGACCCCTTGACCTTGGACTTCCAGCCTCTGGAACTGTTGTTGAAGCCATCCAGTCTACAGTACTTTGTTCTGGCAGCCCTAGCAAACTAACACACCTTGGTTCATATTCATACCTTATATATGGCCCCAAGGAGTAGCAGACACAGAGGGAGAAAGACCAGCTAATTATCCGCTCACTTCCCTACGTTACAAAATAAAATATCCCATTCCACTTTCTTGATAATTTCTCACCCCCAACAGTAGATCAGCTACACTCACATGGCTGGCTGGGTGACATCAAACAGATAAAGGATGGCACATATGTGGCACACACACACACAGCCCTGCTCCCCTACACTCTGGCCGATTTTGATAACCCATCACCACATCTTATTCCAGTGAGTACAGACACTGATTTACAATCCTTCTTAATACAGTGCTCCAAGCACTTAAATTACAATGGACTAGAACTGAAAAGCCAGTTACAATTACTTATCATTCCCAAGTAAGAGTGAAATAGCACACAAAACAATGAACAGCTTCAACTAGTTTTGCTTCCTTAAAACAAGTTGTTGATTAATGAAATTTGGTGCTCAATAGCAGAGACAGCACTGTGCATGTGCCAGATGGAAACCCATAGCCCAAGATGACCCTGGAACCAAGAACCTTCAGAAATGTTGCCACCAGAGTCCTTTACGAAGCGAGAAGTCCTTCGATAAGGAAAATCCAGCTTCCAGCAGCCCAAGTAGCTTAATTACCATATATGGACTGATTTGAGACTAGCCAATCAGCCTCTGCCCCTAACTCCTTAAATTTTGTCCCAAATCCTGGATCAGGGAGACAGATTTGAGAGCCTTGCCTCCTGTCTCCTTGCCAGTCAACCTCATAATAAAGCTTTTCTTTTCTCAAAAGCTGGTGCCACAGTATTGGCTTCTATACTCATCAGGCAATGAGCCCTTGCTCGGAAACAATTTCTGACGACCATGATCCAGTGACCGCCTGCCCGAGGCTCTGCAGCCCCCAGTGGGGTGTGGGCTCTCACTGCTGACCCGACGCTGCTGCCTAGACTACTTTGTCTAGAGACTCAGCTGACTGGATTCCTGTTTCCCGCCACGGCGCTACAGGCTCCTAGGCGCTTCTTTCACTTTTGTGAAAAGAAACGGCTTCTGGATCAAGACGTTTCTGGGCTCTGGGGGAGTAACCTTAAGAAAGTGACTGTCCCTTACCTCATCTCTCTGGTTTGATTCCCTGGAAATATAAGTTTGACTTGTATGCTGCGGAATTCTGGTGGACTAAGTCCCGAATCTTGGGCCTGGACCACCCAAGATAATTAGAAACAGCATAAAAGGTTCATTCGAGAGTTACTCCTAGTAATCTGGTTCTGAGTACTCCTGGTAGCCTGGTTCTGAGTACTCCTGGTAGCCTGGTTCTGAGCACTCCTGGTAGTCTGGCTAGCATTATGATCTGTGTTATATGTAGCATTGTATTGTGTATTAATTTTGTTTGTCTAAATTGAATTGACTGTTTGCAGACTGAGTTTCTCAGGTACTGTAACAAACTCCCTTTAGAAGTTAAGTCTATGAGGGTCTTCTGACTCCAAAGAAAAGAAGCACTGCGCCCTCTGGTCCTTTAGGACGTTCACCGGTGACTGGGGATTTTATGGAGGTGTCGGAGTGTCTGCCCACGAAGTGCAACCGCCTCACAGGGACTCTTTCCTGAAGAACATACCTCACCGAACCTTCACCGTTCACGGCAAAGCAGTCGGCACCGGCAGCTTGTCTGGGGCCTACTCACCTGAACTTTGTTGATGTCAAAACACGTACGGGAAACTATGGACCCCTTGGTCATTCTTGGGGGAGCTGTAAGCACCACATCATGACGCTAAAAACCACTCCTAAAAAGGCCTTGTTTGCTGCAGCCACCTTGAAAAAGCCCTCTAAAATGGGAAATATAAATAGTATATTTTCTTTTGTAATATGGCCTGGCCCCAATACTCACTGGGGCCTGAGGTGTGGTCTAGGAACAGGTCTTTGAACTATAATACCATCTTGCAATTAGACCTATTCTGTAAAAGTAAAGAAAAATGGCTATAGAAGTGCCCTTGCCCAAAATCTAGCATCTTGAGTATCTTCTCCACAAATATTAGTAGAAAAGCTTAAAACAGAATTTGGATAAAGTACAGAAACTAGACTTAGAACAATAGCAATTATGAGGAACTTTGAATTAAATAAGGTCATTTAAGAAGCACACTTAAAAGCAAGGGCCATAATTGACCTCCTTAAACCCAGGGAGGATCCTCAAAAGTTTTTATAAATGGATTACCTCCTGAGATTAGTGAATAGATAAAAAGACAAAAATAAGATGGGAGGCCACCATCTGACTGAACTCATTGTAGTCGTGGGCCCTCTGGGACCAGTTCAACTGACCCCATCTCTTATCAACAGAGTGATTAAGAATTGCCTTTCAGAAAAATCTGCAAAGTCACATAGCCAGGGCATGCACAGAAGAAATCTTGACCTGAAATGACCACAGAACCAAAGATCCTCCTACCCACGGAACCCAAGGACCGGGACATGACTAGAAGTTGAAAGTCGGACTCGTATCAGAAGCTAGGGGTCCCTCATTCAGGAAGATCTGGTGTAAAAATTTCTTCTTCACCTCATCAAAAATGTTTAGAACCCTATTATAAAAGTTTAGAACCCTGTCATAAATGTTTAAAACCTTACCATAAATACTTGAAGCCCACAATCAAAATCTGTCTCACCAGCATTTCCGTGTGCCAGCCTGTTCTTCCTAATCTCTTAAATTTCACCCCAAATCCTGAACTGAGGAGACAGATCAGAGGGCACACACTCCCTTTTCCCTTGCAGATCGATCTCAAAGAATAAAGCTGATGTCTTTTCCCAAAGGCTGATGCTGTAATTAATTGGCCGTTTATGCACATCAGGCAAGTGAACTCCAATTTTGTGCAGTAACAATTGGCGACTACAAAGGGACAAGGTCCTGTGACGGCCCACCCGAGGCTTTGGAACCCCTGGTGGGGTATGGGGTCTTTTCATTGACCCTGAGCGGCCGCCTAGACAATTTCGTCTAGGGTCTCGACTGATTGGATTTCCGTTTCCCGGCTGCGGTGTTCCAGGCCCAAAGGCGTTTTTCTTTCCTTTGGGAGAAGAAAGCAGCTCCAGGATCAGATGTCTTGAGGGTGAGTGACCTCATTAAAACATGCTTGTGCCTAAAATTGTCTAATATCTCATCAGGATCATGGGTTAAAGGCCCCACTGGTGAGATTTTTGCTGGTTAAAGTCCCAAGGCTAGGATTGTGAGTTTAAGGGAGACAATATAAAAGGGTTACAGCTGCTAGGACACTCAAAAAGATCAGATTAGAGTCCCAAGCTCTCGGTTAGAGTTCCAGAGTATTAGATTTCGGTGTCTGTTCATGTTTGTCTATGTCTGACTGTTTTATTTGTTAAAATTGGCTGTTTGGAGACTGAGTTTCTTGGTGATCATAACAAACTCTCTTTAGAAATTACCCTGTTTGTTGCAGCCACATTGGGAAAAGCCCCTTAAAATGGGGATAACTATAAACAGCTAGCAAGATAACCCCAGATAATTTAAAATTACAGCGGCCGCTTTGGGATCCTTTTGAGCTTTTGAACCAAGAAACAAAGAAATTTTTAGAGTCAAGAGCTCCACCTTTCAACCTAAAGGTTCCAGAAGCTATAAATGTTTGCAAAGAACTGCAGAATCTTACCAAGCTTGTTTTGTGTCCTGAGGGCTTGGCTTGATAATCATCAGGTTGGCGGGAGGTCCCAAAACTACAGTGGGACAAAAACGTGGCTGCACTCCATTTTGCAGTCAGAGATGGTCAGGCAGAAATGCAGGTTGCACTCCCATGTGTGGCTAAGGGACCTACCAAACTGCCATCAGCCTCAGGGGAATTACATAGGCCATTAGAGGGAAGCCTTGACTTGGCCTTCATTGTGAGGGTCTTGGTTTTGGGGATGTCCGAAATTTTCACGATCTGGTTCTAGCTACAGTATAAATATATGTTTGACCAGCTGTGTCTAAATTTTGAAACAATGGGAAACGCTAATTCGATCCCCACCTGTAGCCCCTTAGGCTGCATTCTCCTGAACTGGGCGACTTGTAGCTATGAGAATGTAGTATGAGCTATGAGTACTCATCGGTTCATTGATCCTTCTCCTCCCAGAGATAGTCATTGTCCTTCCTTGTCTATGTTTTTTTGTGTGTGTCGTTTGTCATAAAAAGGAAAAAAA